ACTGTACTGTTAGAAATGAGTGTGGAGCACCTTATTACCTTCTGCTAGGTCCTATCTTTGAATTGTTCTACCACCTCAACCCTGTTATGTGGGGGACCAAGCTTCAGCACATGAAACTTTTGGGGACAAACCACATCCAAACAGAAACTAGTGTCCCATAGTCATTCCTGTTAGAAAACGGTACTTATATTTGTGTCACACTTTCGTCCCTAGTCCATCAGCTCCCTCGTGAGAGCTCTTCTCATGACTGACCTGACTAGACACAGGTGTAGACTGGTCAGTTTAAAAAGGCCACACAGCCGATCTACCCTAAATTTCTATCTTAAACCTCAGCCCAAGTTTAGGAAATAAGTCAAGGTCACATCTGAAGGTGTTGTGCAGGTGAGGGAGGTCATCCCATGGCAACTGGGGTTCTTCCCCTTTCCCTTGCAGACTTTCCACAGCCTTTCCACAGCACTCTGTCTGGGAAAGTGTGTAGGGAGGTCAATTCTGTGGCTAAACTAGGAGCCATTCTTGTCCCAGGACTCTCACCCTGCCCTTTCTCCTGAGCAGTAAATTACTCTCGGCTTCGAAAAACATGCCTTGGTGACGTGTTCATGGTGGCTGTGGGAGGAGTGGAGTCTGGATGTCTGAGTGCAGAACTCAGAGCTCCAAGCTTGGTGTGACCCTCCAACACATGGTCCTGAGAGTGACCAGGAAAGGTTTACATCCTCTAGTGGGTTCCCCAAGTACCACGAAGTCTCCTCCCATGGGATTGACACTCCCCTCCCTCACCTGTTGGAATACTGGCACAATGATCCTTTACTGTGTCTTGATGGCCATCCGCCCTGCACACAGACTTCATTGTTCAAGTTTCCTCCCACTTTCGGGAGGCAGCTGAGGCTGGGATAGAATGCTCATCTCGCTTTCTTCATAGTGGGACACATTGGCTTTAGAGCTGCATAAAGCTGGGAAGTGTAATGAGTCAGTGTCCCTCTGTCCTCAACCCTGCCTTCCAGTGGATCACCTATGCACACTCAATAAAGTTTCTACCTGCCACTCTCCCTCACAAGGTCTGTGTCTATGGCACCCAAGATAAGTGACTTTCTTTTCATGGCCACTGTTTCCTCCAAGGCCACCTTTGAGATGTGTGATATTGACATCACCCTAAAAAAAATGATGTGCTTTGTGGCAAGAGGGAAAACATTTCAGTTAGGTGTCTCTGACATTTATTTCCCCTTCTGGTAGTTCTGGGCTTCCTAAGGAGGCCTAGCAGTACCAAAAGTGACTAAAACCATGTGGCTCTAGAAACTTACACCAGAAGTAACTTGAAAGCAGATTGAAAAGTCCCAAATAGCATAAACTTGTGCCATCCCAAGGAAGTTTTGGAGAGAAGATGGGTGTAAGATTAGCAGAGATTTTAGGCAAAGTTAGAAAAGGGACAAAAAAGAGGAGCAGAGAGGACTTTCTTAAAGATGAGAGACTTTTGTTTAATTTCCTGGATTACTTTCAAATGGTTTATTTTTTAAAAATCCACATCTGTTAATTGACTGAAACACCTTTGTAACTGGAGAGCTAATGACCTTCCAGGGCACAAGAGGCTGGCAATACATTTGTGCAGAGTTAAACTGTGTGATGCAAGCATGTTATGAGCGGCCCCACCTGTGTGTACAATGTATTTAAGAGATTAGGGCATGCTTTGAAATTACCATATGTTTTACCTAAAGCAAGAACCTTGTTCTAAGCTTCTATTTCCTCACAGAAGGGTGGGGAAAAAACCATCAATTCTCTCAGGTAATCAGGTGCACAAGAAACCTCACTTGTGGAATTTAATGAAGGTTTAAGCCCTGAGGAATGAAGGATGTGCTATTTACATATATTTAGTTTCAACACAATATTAAAACTTATTTTCAATACTTGTGATTTCTTTATTTTTTTGTGGGACTGGGGTTTGAACTCAGGGCTTCATGCTTGCAGGCAGGCATTCATCTGCCTGAGTCACACCTCCAGTCCATTCTTCTCTGGTTACTTTGGAGATGGGGTTTCACAAACTAATTTCCCAGGCTGGCTTTGAACTGCAATCCTTGGGATATCAGGCTTTCAAGTTGTTGGAATTACAGGCGTGAACCATCAGTGCCTGGCTTGTGATTCCATTTTAAAGGTGTCACTTCTGGATGCGGGTGACATTTTTAGGAAGATGTAGGAACAAGAGGACCAGGAAAGTTGTGGTATAACAGGCTAGTGGGACACAAAAAGGGATTTTTAGAAGAACTGCTGTCGTCCCCATGTTCCCTTCAGGGTCTTCCGGAAATGTAAGTAAATACCTGAGGGTCTTTATTTACATGTAAGTTATCCTGGTGCTGAAGCAGGTGGTTATTAAAATGACAAAAGACATGTCTTTTCCACTCCTGGATTTGTCAAGAAGGGAAGAGAGTCTATTTATAAAGAATGACCCTCACTGGCTAAAGGCTAAGCTGCTGCTTTGCATAAACTTGGTGGCCATAACTAATGAGGCCCACCGTGTGTGAGAGAAACATGGGCGAATTGAAATATGCAAGTTAAATTGCACACAGTCTTTAGGAGTCTGAAAATCACATACAGATGTGCCCAATAAAGACATAGACTTTATTTTAAAAACACTCATCTTGCAAAAAATACATAGAAAAATAAAGTTTGATTGGGGTACTTGATGAAACTTCAAATCACAGACTTTTATGTTACAGATTGAAGTGGAGTGTGTTAACTATTAAACAGGACAGAAACAGATCACTAGTGTGAAATGGTCCAGAGCACTGTCTGTTCACTTGTCAGAGAGCCATGGACTAGTTCTTCAAAGTCAGGGTGGGTAGATGACTCACTCCAATGGGAGAGGGGGAAAGCAAGATAGATCCATAAACCAAATAATTTTAAACACAAGCCTTTTTTTGCAACACAGTATGAGTCACAGTAAAATGTTTAATCCTGGCAGAACTGCAGGTTGAAAGAATTCAGAGAGTAGGGAGAGAAAGTAGGAATGGAGCACTAAACCCTGATCTTAATTAAGAGACTTGTCGAAAGGACAAAGCAATGCAGGCTTGTCTACCTTTTGTGAGGTTTAGCCTGTGGTGGGGTCAGCAGTACCAGTAGGTGGCGTTAAACAATAGTTCAACATGGAGCCAAAGTCACAGAAAAATGGGACGAAACTCGCCAACTTTCTATCAACTCACTTTGGCAGTTTTGCCACCAGCAGTAAATTGGCCCTTTTTAATAGGAGGAAATTGAAATGTTTTTCACTGCACAGAATTAAGAAGTGGGATCAAGAGACTTCCTGGCCTCAGGGTACATCAGTAATTGTTGTGGAGTTTTTTTCCTTGATGCTTCCTCTTTACCAGGACACCCTGATATAACTGATAGAAATGGAAGGGCAAATTTCTCTTTTGCTCACAGCTCATTTCTGTGAAGTCAGGAGGTGACCCATTATAGACACTGAACACAGTTCCTGAAGAATTTAGATAGTTTTATCTGGTGATGGAAGCCAAAATAATGTTGCATTTTGAAAATGTTTTCCTTTTTCTTAGTTTCTTCCTGCAACTATCAGCCCCTTTGGCTGCTCAGTGGCCTGGGCTGCCTTTTGTCCCCAGGCCCTCCCTCCTGAGGACCCTCCATTTCCCCATGTCACTTAGGTGGTAACCCTTTATATTATACTGTGTCCTTCCTTTTGTGTGAAAATCCAATACCTCTTACCTCCTCTGCCTGCGGGGATCCCCAATGGTTGTCAGACTTTGAAATGTAACAACAGAGCCACCAGAAAGTCTATAAAAGCAGCAGTGACCTTCTTGAGCTGTCAGGTCTTTAAATAGGATTTGGGATTTAATGCTGTATATTTTTAAAGGGAAGAAATAAGAGTTGCTAGTTTAAAAAAAATGTACATCTTTTGGTCAATTCAGAATCTGCCCCTACCTTTTTTTTTTTTTTTTAAACCCAGGAAAGATTAAGCTTTGGGGGCAGGGGAAAAGAAAGAGAAAGACCAGATCTCAGGTTAAATAAGATAGGTGTAGCCAGACTAAAAGTCTGGACTGAAAGGAAGCCCTTCTGTTGGTGATTGCTATAGAAAAGGAACCAAAAAATAAAATAAAAGGAGGGAAGGAAAGACCTTATCTCACCTCCACAAAAAAACTGTCATCTGTCATAATGTAGTATAAATTCTAGCCTGAAAACTCCAGACCTCTCTGATTCTAAATTCTCCAGGCAGGGCAGAAAGAATTGGCAGAGGTCTTTCCACTTTTTGCCCTGGTGAAGCATGGAGACCCCCTTTGCCCCTGCCTTGGATAGGCCTAGACTCTTTTGGCCTGTCCCTACTCCTTGCAGTCAGCTCTGTTTATACAGCTTGTTTTTAAGAACCACAGTGAGCGCATCTTGTTCTAGTCAGGCCACCCTGTAAACACTTCCATTGGCAAACTATTGGAAAAGGAACAAGGAGCTGATATTTCCCCCTTCCTTTCCCTCCATGTCCCATGCCAACCTGGCCCGAGCATGAGTTTTCTTTGAGACCCTCCATTTACCCTCACTTTTACAAGGGCAGAGCAAAACCTTGGCCATATTCCAAGGCCAACAAGAGGCTTTTGAACTTCAATTTAATTCAGTAGGCAACACCCATGTCTTGGCTGTCCTTTCTCTCTTTAGGCTGTCTCTTTCAGAGCGGATACTCATTTACCCAAGAGAATGGAGCTGCAGCAACAGATCCTCTGGAATGATGCAGAAGGCTCATCCAAAGTCATGCAAAGTGCTGGAAACAGAGTTTCTCCCCTCCAAATGGAGTGAACAGTGGCAACCTACAGCAAGCACCAGGGGAACTATTTAGCTATTAATTAAAATAGTTACTGCCCCAGGCCTTTCATTGGTCCATCAGTGGAGAACCAGGTATTTCCATGCAAACCCCCAGCAGTTTGGGTCTCCACACCTCTTGTTCCCCAACTCTCCCTTTCCACAGAGACACCGGGGAAGGCAGTTTTGACCATATATGGTTGTCATCTGAACTGGCATTACCAGAAAGCAGGGCTCCAGCTGCCCAGACAGTAAAGGTAGGGGTAGTAAGGGTAGCTGTTACACACTGAGACCAGGGAAGCCCTGGAGAAGCCCTCCTCTTTCAGGCCTGGCAAGGACGAGTGCTTCTCCAAGTCTCCCAGGTCCGCAGAGAGCTGCTTTCGCTTCGTCTTATAGCGTCTGTTCTGGAACCATATTTTCACTTGGGTTTCCGTGAGTTTGAGGTTCTTGGCCAGGTGAGCCCTTTCTGGTGCAGACAGGTACTTCTGATGGCTGAACTTCCTCTCTAACTCAATGACCTGAGTGTGGGAGAAGGCAGCTCGGGAGCGCTTCTGTGGCTGCTTGGGGACCTGGGAAAGGCTTGGCAAGGCACCCGAAGTGTGTTCACAGTCCAACACATACTTCTCGAAGTGCCTATCTGGAAGAGAGAGGAGAGAAGGAGGGTGGGAAGAAAAAAGTTACATGTCAGCACAGAATTCAATCCACCCTTATCTCCTTCGTGAGTGAACAAACAGTCCACTGTTATCTTGGTTACATTTCACTTTTTTCGCATGACTCAGGGACTCTCCAGTTTGAAGAATGAGTAAATTTGTATATTATGTATTCGTTTTTTAATAATCACCAAGAGCCTGAAGTTACAGGCATTTGTTTCGTGGGTCAACTTTCTGCCATATTGTCCAGGACAATTAAATGAGGATTCTGGAGATGTGTATTGAGGTGGGAGAAGGGAAGGCGTGGAGGAGTAAGACACTAAGAGAGGGCTAATGGCTACTTCATTCTCTGGTTTTAATCCTCCTTTCTCTAAATGAGGCCTACGTGAGAAGTGAAGAAAGGGAAATTAAGCCCACTCCAAACTTTCCAGCGCCATTCTTTCTCTTGGAGACCCCCGTGGGGTTGAGAAGCAAAGGGACTCTTTGCAGGTCAAACTCTGATTGATTCATATGAGTTACCATTGCTTCTCACTGCCATTGGTAACTTGGGCTTGGTACCCCTGGCTTTGAGCCCGAAGGAGCCCAGAGAGCAAGCAGGGTCAGTCAGCCGGTGTCAAAACCGCGCGCCGCCCTGCACTGGGGCGCAGGGTTAACCGAGGAGCGCGCATGGCTGCGCGACGGCGAGGTCCCTCCGCCTGTCGCCGCGGGGCCCCGCACCCTTGCATCCCGACCTCCAGGACGTCCTACTGGGGGGCCGGTCCTCAGCCCGTGGAAGCTCTCGGGCCTCGCCTTACCTGGCTCGGTCTCCACCAGCGTGTCTGCCTCCCCCGGCGCGGCGCGGGGTCCGGCGCGCAGCGGATCGTCCAGCGCCCCGGCGCGGCCTCTTCCTCGCTGGAGCTCGGGCGCACGGTCCAGCCTCAGGCCGGGCTGACGCGGCGGCTGCGGGCTGCCGGTGTGGCCGCCGCGCCGCTCCGCGCCATCCCGCAGGATGTCCTGGATGAGGAAGGAGGTAAGCGGCTTGGACTGGGCGGGCGGCAGGGCCCGGGGACTGTGGCCTACCGCCTCCGCCTCCCCAGGCCGCGGCTCGGGAGCCCTGAGCATCCCGGCGGCTTGGCCCCGACCCGCTGCTCCCGCACCACTTTCGCTTTCCGCCACCCGCGCGCACTTATAGCTCCGGGGAGCGCGCCGCGCCGCCTGCCCATTGGCCGCGGGGACTCGGCGCCGCCGCTGATTGGCTGCGCCGCGCTCCAGGTGACCCGGCGGGGAAGGCGAGCGTTTCGCACGGTCCAGCTCCGCTCTGCCCTGGAAGAGTCCTTTCCCCGGGTCCTCTTCTCCATCCCAGGTGCGCCTCCCGCCGCCCTAAGCCGTTTTCTCAGGCTGGGTGAGAAACCCAAAGTCGTCTCCTCTGCCGCTCACAATAGACGTTGAGATGCTTTAGGAGAAAAAGTAATGATGGAGAAGAGAAGCACTCCATTCGCTGTCACGGTCTGTTAAAGCGCCTTTGCTCACAGAGGTAAGCAGGTCCCTGCCACTTACTTTACAGTTTAGAATTCTAGGGGCCCGGTTCCCTGGAGGGACTGGTGGCAGGGCCAGATCTAAGGCTGTAAAAAGTGTGACAACTAGTGCCGGTACCCTGATACCCCGGCTGGATTCCGTGCTGGACATTATTGGGCCAACCCACGAACGTGGAGCAGGGAAGCGAAGGTTTTGAAACTGTGTTAAACTTACTGAAATTAAACACTGTGCTGCAATTGTGTAAGAGAATATTCTTAGGAAATAAGCACTAAAGTTGTAGAGGCAAAGGTACTTACCTCCTTATAGTCCAGAAACGATATAGACTGATAAATGGGCTAAAATATTAATAGTTGGTGAATCTGGACAAAGGGTATGCTGACATTCTTTTGAACTACTTTTTGCAACTTTTGTTGTGTCTGTCCTGGTCTAAGGTACCTTCTCTTCAACTGGAATCTTTTCGAAAGACTGTGTTGTGTGCTTGGGAGGAGAGAAAGGGAATAGAGTTTTTAGGGGTTTTTGTTTGTTTTTGAGACAGTCTTGCTATGTAGCCCAGGACGGCCTTGAACTTTCCATGTTCCTGCCTCAGCCTTTCAAGTGCTGGGATTATAGCTGTGTGCCACCATGCCTGGCAGATCATACATTTTTAATTTCTCAATAATGTTCCGTTGTATGGATCTGCCAGAGTTTGTTCAACCCTGTCTTCATCGAAGGATGCTTTAATGAATAAAAGTGCTGTGAATAATCGTGCAAAGGCTTTGGGTGAACATGAGTGCTGTGGTTTGGATTCGTGTCCCCCCTACAGGTCCATATCTAAAGGTTTGACCTCCAGAGTGGTGCTATTGGGAGATGCTATGAACCTTTAAGAGGTGGAGCTCAATGGGAGGCTCTTAGGTCACTGGGGACAAGACCCTAAAAAACGGACTCTGGTTTCTTCTTCTTCCTCTTTTCTTCTTCCTGGCTCAAGGTCATGATGTATTGCCCTTGCTGAGGCCCAAATCACTGAGGTTACCAGATCTATAAACCTCTCTCTACTTCATGAGCAGCCTGTGTCACATATTTGGTTGTAGTGTCAGAACACTGACTAATACAAGTTTCATCTGCCTGGAATAAATGCCCAGGAATGCAATTGCTAGATCATATGAAAAATACATGTTTAGTAATGATAAGAAACTGCCAGGTTTCTTTCCTGAGCAGTTGTACCATTTTAAATTTCCACAAGCAATGTATGACAGTATCAAGTTCTCCACATCCTCATCAGCATTTGGTGTTCTCACTATTTTTATTTTAGCCATTAATAGATGTATACGGCCATCTTATTATGGTTTTAGCTTTAAATTTGCATTTGATAAGTGGCAAAATGACAAGTGGCACTTTTTCATGTGCCTATTTGCCACCCGCATCTCTTCTTTGAAGAAGTATTTATTCCAGTCTTTTGCTCAAGTTATAATTGGGTTTTCTGGGTTTTTACTCCTGAATTTTGGTAGGTCTTTATACATTTTATATAGAAGACTTTCCTGGATATGTGGTTTGCAAGTATTTGCTTCAATTTGTAGCTGTGCTTTCTTCCTTTTAATGGGATCTTTTGCAGCACAAGTTTTTAATTTGAATAAGGTCAGCTTATTAATTTTTATTTCACAGATTGAGATGTTGGTGCTGTGAACAAGAACTCTTTGCCTAGTCCTAATACTAGAGATGGCTTTCTATTTTGTCATCTAAAAACTTCATATTTTCCTCTTAAACCTGTGACCCATTCCGATTTACTTTTGTGTGTGGTGTGAGGTTTAAGTTCAGGTGGCCTTTTCCATTTTTAAAATTCAGGGCTGGGTGGCATTTCAAATCAGTGGGGATTTTGTGAATGAGTTAATAACTAGTGCTGCCATTTGGAAAATATAAAATTCTATTCTTGTAACAAAATAAATCCCAGATGACTCAAAGATGTAAAACACAAACAGGCACATGGGAAAAAATTTAACCACATTCATCATTAAAGAAATGCAAATCAAAACCACATTGAGATACCCTTTTCTACCTATCAGATTAGGAAAGCTTTAAAAAAAATGGAAGTTGCCCAGTGTTTGCTGGAGTGTAGAGGAACGACTGTTCATGGTGAGTTGGACAGAGAGTAAATCAATTTTTCATATTTTGAAGGCAACATGAAAGTTCCTCACAACATTAAAACTGGGCATATCCTTTGACACAGCTATTCCATACTTACCGATTTGCCCTAGAAACTCAAATACACAATGTGCTGACTTGGGAACATATCTTCAGTTTAGTCAGAGACTGGTTCAGGTTGCAAAATGTGTCGTAGAATATGTAAAAAAAAAAAGCAGCTACATGTTATCTGTATATTTTAGGGCTGGAGGTGTGGCTCCAGTGGTAAAGTGTCTACCTAGCAAGCACGAGAGCAGGAGTTCAAATCCCAGTACTGAAAAAAAAAAAAAAGCAATATTCGGAAATCAATTGTGTTTCTATGCACTGAAAGGAACAATCTGAAAATAAAATTAAGAAAGCAATTCTGTTTATAGAAAATAATACTTTACACTTCAGGAAGGAGACTATAGATATCCTTTTTCAAAAGAACAATTCCCCTCTGCTCAGTAAAATGGAGATAGATTGAGAGAAGAAAAGGAAGAGAATGGGACATTTATAATTTTTAAAAATTAAATATCTAGATCTTGAATTAAGCTGTGCCCAACTCTTCCAAATGGTGGAAGATAAGTCACCCTTGTCCCCTTGCCATATTCCACCATGGGCCCTCAGGTTGCATTCTGGTATAGCTCATGACACTTTGCCTCATCTTGTTTTGTACACTTCCTTTCCTTCCTCCTTGTGTGTGGATTGATGGGTGGGCCATTTCCTTTATTAGACCTTAAGCTCTCTGAGAAGGAAATGTGTTCTCCTCTTTGTACTTCCCCATCACCTCGCTTAGTTTTTGGTACACAGCAAGTTCTTAACAAATGCCAGCTGAATGTTCAGCTTCAGTTACTCTGAGGCACCTCACTAGCTGGCAGAATTATCCACATCAGACCACAGGGTCCCAAGGCAAGTCACAGAGGAAGATAAGCCACCCTTGTCCCCTTGCCATATTTATGTAGCTTCAAGTGAGTGAAAATGACCAAGGGCAATCAGGAAGACACAAGGGCTCTGTGGGAGGCAGGATAGTGATCCCCCCACAAGATGTCTGCCTCCTAGTCACCTGAGTCTGTGGCTGTGTTCTACAAGTAGCAATGGACAGTCAAGGTTTCGGATGAAATTATAAGTGCTAATTAACTGACTTTGAGATAGGAAGAACACTGTGGAATATCTAGACGGGCCTGATGTCATCACAAGGGTGTTTATAACTGAAAGGAGTCAGGAGGGTCAGTCAGAGAAGGAAATGTGGCAGCCGAAGCAAAGTTAGAATGATGGAATGTGGGGAGACTTGACTGGCCATAGCTGGCTTTGAGGATGCCAGCGGCCATGAGCAGACATAATTTTTCACAACATACCTCATTTTCTTTTCTTTAAATTTTTTTGAGGTATTAGGGATTGAGCCCAGGGCCTTGAGAGTGCAAAGCAAGTTCTGTACTATTTGAGCCATGTCTCCAGCCCTTCTGTTTGTATTTTGTTTCTGAGACAGGGTCTCACTTACTTTACCCAGGCTAGCCTTGAACCCGTGATTCTCCTGCCTCCACCTCCCGAGTACCTGGGATTACAGGCATGCTCCACTATGCCTAGCTATATGTCTTTCTTTTAAATTACATTTCAAGTCCTTCTGGGGATCTGATGTGCTGTGGAGTCCCTAGAAAATAGGATAAGGGGCTGCCTATCTGAGGGAGCCCAGCGGCTGATGGTGCAGATTCTGCAGTGTGCTGCCTATGCAACCTTAGGTGAGTGTCCTAGCCTCACCTAATGTGAAATGGGTACAATGACAACATATCCCAAAGGATTATTGAGAGGAACAATAGGGTCATTCACAGAGGAGGACCTCAGAGTTTGGGAACCGAGAGCCTTGATTCTATTAGGAGTGCTAGGCTCTGTCCCATCTGCACAGTAAATCAGCTTGCCTTTCCCACAGGTGTGGGCATTGTGAAGAGGCAAACCATCTGAGTTCTGGAATTCTAAGCCAACTGGAGGAAAGAAGGCAGTAGAAAGTGGGCTGAGTGGATGAACCCACCTCAAATCTAGAGGATCCTATCTGGTGGCAGTTTACCTCACTCTACATCATGAATGCTCAACATCCCAACACTTCATCCTGATTTTTTAAGGCCTCCACAATGCAAGTCTTGGCTTCCCCACCCCTCTTTCCATTCCCCTGTAGACATTCTCTCCTCTCCACTGACTGTAATGGTTCCCACTCATGTCATGCTCAGCCCTATCTCCAAGCCTTTTTGCATGCCTTGTGTACATTTGAGTCTCTTCCTGCCCTTCACTGGTTCACTTGTCATCTTTTCACTGATTGAAAAGAAGTTTTAGATTTTTCCAGCCTTCACTGATGGCTCTGTGCTGCTTATTTTGGCATTTGACCTTTTATTGCCTTGGAGTATTTAATCAGTTTAAACTCACTAGTTGTCTTAGTCCATTTTGTGCTGCTAGAAGAAAAC